AATATATATATAAGCAATTCTAAAAAAAACGGTGATTTCAATTAATTAATTAAAACTATTACTACCATATGCAATCAAATGCTAAATTTCAAAAGTATATCAACATCAAAGTCACACTCAGCCAACTTAAGGAGAGCTGGAAGTATAACATGCTATTTCAACACAACTACAAATACAAATACTTTCAGAATTCAGAAAATCCTCAAGAACAGTCCATAAGATCAAGCAAATCCCGATTTATCTTATGCTTAAAACAAGAACATGATTCTAACGATAACGATACTATAGAATTCCGTATAGAGCAGTCATGTAATGATAGATTAATGATCATAATAGGCAATTTAAGAGAATATTAAAACGAAAACGAACCCACACAGATCTGTTTAGATCTGTTTTCTCAGACGACCAGGACCTCGAGCTGACCTCGCCGGAGTTGCTGTTGTTGTCGTCGATGCTCGCTGAGGAACTCTCGCCGGAGCTGCTGTTGATTCCGGTCGGAGTGCTGCCAGCTGCTGGAGTTGCTGTCCGTCTGCTGATGTTGCTGGTGCTGCCTGTCCGCCTGGGCTGGCTGTTGCTGCTGGCGGAGCCTGCTGCGTCGTCTCGCCAGGCTGCTGGTTGCTCTGGCCGAGCTGCTGGATGCTGGTTGTTTCCGTCTGGAGCTGCTGGCTGCTGTTTCTCGCCGGAGGAGAAGAGAGAAGCAGCGACGAGAAAGGGAGGAGAAGAGAGGAAGGGCAGCAACAGCACCTGCTGCTGGCGGAGAAATCAGAGAAGAGAGAGGGAGGGTGGCTGATAGAGAGGGAGAGAGGAGAGAAAAATTATTATGTTAGGGTTGGGAGTCTTTTAGTGTTGAAATAAGAAAGAAGGGAGGATTAATTTTTATCCGTCCGATCAAGATTAGATGTAGGGTTCAGATTTAATGGAGAAGGATGAACGGTTCAGATTAAAAGCTAAAAACTTAAAGTCATATACAATTGACTTTGAAATGGGTAAAAATGAAATGGAATTGACATGAAGGGTGGCTATAATTGCAATACAATTGAAATTTAATAGGCTAGAATTGCAAGGAATTAGAGTAAGATAGGCTAAGATTTAAATGATTTGGAGGAAAATCAAAGGAATGCTATTCAATTAAAGTACTACATATATTAGAACATTTTCATACAAATTATACACATCTAAATTTTAAAACATTTACGTAAAATAGTTATTTCGAGTTCTGCTAATAATTTTAAAAATAATTTTTTTATAAAGCATGCATACTAAATATAATTTTTTTTTTAGATAAAATCGATTAAAATTTTAAACTTGACATATTAAAAAAAATACGTATTTAATCGAATAGCATTTCCAAAATTGCTAAAGGTCGGTCAAAATTGGGTGTCAACACTCCTATGAAGAGAACTTAAACACCTCCTATACACTAGGACTGGACAGTTGATGAGTGGAAAATATAACATTGGGGTCTTGACATTGGAAAACTGACACCATATAATTTAGCCAAATACTATCACGATCTAGACCATCGTGAGTGGTACCCAGACTAATCCTCCGGTGGAAGAACCATTACTACAACCCATACTAACAAACTCAACCAAAAACTAAGGCATTTAAAGATACGGAAGCAGGTTTAGATACTAAAGGAAAATAGAGTTTCCATAAACTCCAAAAGTCTAACCAACAAATGCAAAAATTATTCTCTAGAACCTGAAAGTCAATGTACCAAAACTCTAACAAGGATCATAAGTATAAAGGAAATGGGTACAACCCAATTAAGCATAAGAAAATCTAAAGTACTAGTCTAAGTCCGAAGATGTGGACATAAACAAAAAGAGAACTCATGGCAGCCTAGAAGAACTGGCTCACCCTTGAATTCGAGTCGATCACTGGTCTTCTAAACGAGGTCTGACAGTAGCCGCCTGAAGATGCCCTATACTCAACAAAGAAAGAGTAAGTGCAGTATCAGTACACAACCGCAATGTACTGGTAGGATCACGCGGGTATCCCAATAGGGGAGACATATACAAGTAATCATAACATAATAAAACAGGCATATACCGAACATATACAATATCAGTCATTATATCAGGATCAACGAACAATTCCATATTCTCAAAATACATCTACATGAAAAGTCAATGGTCCTCTCATGGAACCCACACCCAAACTGTTAGTGTACCAGTACGTGGTACCCGATCCAAGTTAGTGTGTCGGATGTGACACCCGATCCCATGTATGAGCCGGAACATGGCACTCGATCCAAGTTAGTGTGTTGGAACGTAACACCCGATCCATTTCAACAAACCACAATCACAATCACAATGTACATCTTCATAATTATACAATCAAGTGTTGATTCATGGCATACAATCATTTTTTCATAGTCATTTACGATTAGTGTGATCAATAATGCAACATTCACATACATACATGCATTATTATGAAGTAAATACTAACATACATCACCCCAACATGAAATCACAACCATCACCTACCTCGAACAAAACTTGAATCCCCTAAGAAACTTGATTCTTCCCTTTCCAGATTCTTTCCGCTTGTTCTTGGTCTACAAACAATCAATAGATCGCGAGGATCAATAAACAAGACCTAATTACCCGGATCATAATTAATAATAACAACCCTAGGTCGAACCATTGATCTCATACCCAGATTAGAGCTTTTTCCACCATACTTCTCAGATCAAATCCCTCCCCCATCGATAATTACCCAAGAAACTAAGTTCTACGGATCGAAAAATTGATTCGGAGAGTAAAAGCCTTACCTTAGGTGCTAGAAGAGGTGGAAAACCTTCAGGATATTTGGGTCGTTCCTTAGCTCTCAAGATCGAATGTTGCAGAAAATAACGTTTTGGGGTTTATTTCTGACTTAAGTCGCGTCTGTCCCATTGTGGCGAACCTCACCCCACTACAGCGGCCCCGCCCTGGCGGAAAAATCCCGCCTTGACGGCTTTCATGGAAACAATGAGCTATTTTAAGAGTTCCAAACCCTCATTTCACAACACACCTTCATCCCATGACACTCAGAAAATACCCGTTCACGCTAAGATCAGTTTCGGGAGTTCTACTCGCCCAAATTTGATTTTGTAAATTCGTACGGATTCCTTAACATCTTATCTATCTACTTATGCAATCAAATTCCTATTAAATCACCCAATCATTACCAGATTTCCCTACACTCACATGACTCCAATTTCATCCAAATCTGGACTAGGCTAGGAAATCTCAAGTTACTACAAAAAAGTTTTTCGGCCCAAAAATTTTTCCCGTTGGCTTTTCTATTACGACGAGAACAGTACGTTACAAATACTCCCTCTATTTTAAGATAAGTGAATTGTTGAGACAATGCACAAAGAATTTAGGAAATAAAATAAATACTACTTTCCACTTTTGTCCTTTTTAGTTATTCTCAAACTATTCTTAAAAATATAAATAATTCAAAATAAAATCATACATATGATCCGTAACTCTTTTGAAATTATCACCTAGAAGATATAAATGAGGGGCAAAACCGGAAAAAAATTCCAATAATTCTCTAGAACTTTGGATAATTCACTTATTTTAATCTATGAAAAAATTTCAACAATTCACTTATTTTAAAATAGAGAGAATATTAATTAGTTACTTTGCCAAAAAGGTTTATACAATTACTATAATATAAATACAACACAAGCAACACCACTTGTTTTTATTTTAAATTGAAGTAACAATCACGAACATAATTAGCAAATTGGAAAACTTTTGCACTATGCACCATATGTAGCCGCCCAAAACTATTATATTCCTTTTTTCATATTATATTCAACTAACATTTTGTTTTGATAGTTGTTATGTATTGTTTCATAATATGTTGTATTGTATTGTGTTATATTGTATTGTATTGTTTTGAAGAATTCAATGATTGGATAAATGTATTATTCTCCATTGCTACATAATATCATATATCAATGATTTGAATGATAGTTGTTATGTATTGTTTCATAATATGTTGTATAATATTGTGTTATGTTGTATTGTATTGTTTTAAAGAATTCAATGATTGGATAAATGTATTATTCTCCATTGCTACATAATATCATATATCAATGATTTGAATGATAAACCTGCAAGAAATTGTAGGGTATGGAGTAGAGCTACTCTGAAAATGTATGATAAATGATAAAATAGAATTATTAAATACTCCACCTGTTTCAAAAGAATGATCTAGTTTGACTTGGAACAAAGTTTAAGAAAAGAAAGAAAACTTTTTAATCTTATAGTCCTAAATTAAAGTTATGTCAAATATATCAAAATGTCTTTTAATCTTGTGGCCTTAAACATGCCACGTGAAAAGTTGAAGTTAAAGTGTTGTCAAAAAAGGAAAGGGGTCATTCTTCCTGAAATAGACTAAAAAGGAAATTATGTTATTCTTTTTTAAACAGATTAAAAAGGAAATTAGGCCATTCTTTTTTAAACGGAGGGAGTAATAAGTAAAGACAAAATAAGAAGAAAATATTGAAGGTAACGATGCAATCACACCAAATGGTCGTCACACAAAATTGGTTTTTCGTTGTTACGTAACAATAGATTTAAACGATATAATACAATAGAATTTAAGTAACACTAAAAAAAATATTGTATTTAAACTAACAAACCAATACAACCGATAGCAACCACCCAAACAAGGTGTAACTCAATTGATACTCCTATTATGAAAATAATTTGAAAACCAATTAATTTAATTACCATAACAATGTAGAAATCATTTCACTAAAATATTCTAATTACACTCGTATTTATATTTCAAAATTTCTCATTAAACACTTATATATATAGTTCTCACAGTTTAAATTATAAATACTAATCAATAAATTAAATTATCCACTAATTTGAAATAGGGATTTTTCCTCCATCCCTACCAAACACTCCCTCAATGACACTGTATTTTCCCTTCTATTTAAACTCTCATATTTTGTCTTAGTAATCTCACCAAATTCAAATAAATCTAATACTCCACCAACCAAACAAAAAAAAAGCAAAACAAAACCAACCTCACATTCCCTCATCCCTTTACTTAGCAATGGACTATAGTCAAGATTTTAGTATTAAGAGTGACGATCAACAACGATATGATCCTTTGTGTTGGAACATGGCAGAAGACACTCTCAAAGGTAGTCACCATGATGAAGTCAAGAAAATGGTGGACGTGTTTAGGAAGCCGGTGATCCGACTAGGTGGTGGTGAGATGCTAACAATAGGTAACGTGGCTGCCATAGCCACCCGGTCGGGCATGGAGTCTGTGAAGGTGGAGCTGTCGGAAGCAGCAAGGGCTGGCGTCAAGGCGAGCAGTGATTGGATCATTGAAGGCATGAATAAAGGGACTGATAGTAATGGTGTTACCACAGGTTTTGGTGCAACATCACATAGGAGGACAAAACAAGGTGCAGCTCTACAGAAGGAGCTAATAAGGTAAACAAAAATTAGTATTCCCTCCTATCCTTTTCTTTTTTATTTTGTGTTTAATATCCCCATTAAGGATCTGAATTAAGTGTTGTGTAGGCTCCGTTCGGGGGGAGGGGGGATTCCCTACTCAGAAGTCAGAGTCAGCTAGAGCTCAAGTCCAAGAACTCTGGTTTAGGACAAAACAATGTCATTCACTGCATTACATCTTTGATTATTTTTTAATTTGTTAAAGGACCCTTTTATTTTTTGAAATTTAAAACTAATTTAATTTAAATCTTTTTATTTTATCCTTAATGACAAGCATTTACATGATCATCGTTTTTAATATAAAATGAGAAACAATTTAATTTAGACTTCTCAATATAGTGAAAATCACAACTTATTTTTTTTTTATATAAAAGAAAAATTGCAAAAAATGTATGGTTCAATAATAAAAATCTAAAGATTAAAATTGTCCAATTCAAATCACTACTATGAAAAAGTTGGAATTATCTACTCGCCGATTTCGAAATAGCTCATAGTTAACCAATTTTTTTATGTGATTCACCCCTGAATAGGATTAGAAACAAATATTAATGTTTAGCTAAAAAAATTATTTATCATTATTTTTTTAAGTGGTGAAAGAGTATTTTGGTCCTTTTTTTAGTTTTTTTTCGACCAACAATCTAGTTATCTTAATTTATAAACGGTTTCCAAGAGTCAAATGATACCATAACATCAATTACAATTCAATTAGGGAGAACAAAAAAATCAAACAACTTTATATAATAACAAAATAGAAAACTTTGCTAATAGTGTGCTATTATATTTCTAAATCTTGAAATATGCACCAAATCAACTTTTTCAAAACACCTCATAAGCTTTCAAATTGAAAATTTTCTTGTAGCTTCATATTCACTAGATTTTTCGCATCTGATAATATAATAATTACACCTTTGACCATTCCTTTTCCATAGCGTTTTTCAACATTGTACAAATTTCTATTGCTTCAACGAGGATAACCTTCCCTTCAACATTTTTAGTGTAGGACTTCTCGCTTTTTTAATATAGTCTATAGAAGTTAGATAGATAGTAGATACATATATAAACTTAATTATTATTATATTATTTTTACTGTAAAATATATATAAATAAAAAGGTATTTTCAAGTCTTTTGATTTTTAATAGTATAGAAAGATTGAGTAAGTGCAAGGCAATTTGATCTCAACTACTAATAAGGAACATATATAGTCTTTGACGCTTTCCACATTCAACTAAACAATAAACAAAGGGAAAGGAAAGCATGGGTGGGTGGGGAGTCAAGGAAAAAAATTGCCTGTATTTTTCTTCAAGGATATTTCTTGTTAGATTAAAGTGGTCCAACCATTAACTCCCACAAGTAAAAGTATTGACAAAGTAAAAGTATTGACAAAAAATGAATACTAGTGCCTGAGTAATTTCTCTGAAACGACATTTAGTCCTTATTATATTGTTTTAAGGCTGGAGGTTGGCTAATAAAATGTAAGGTCATAATAATATACATGCATGATGTGTCTTTTAATTTGATTTTAATTGGTATTTATGTGTCTAATTTCTTATGTGCACAAGTAGATACTTAAATTTATATAAAGTCAAATAAGTAGTACACGCTTGCCCTACATGACATAACATATAAGACGTCACGTAGGACGAGGACGCCATGTAGAATGATTATATCTACTTTCTTAAATCTATACATGTTTAACTATTTATTTGTGCACACCCAAAGTTGGAAGACATATATGATAATGCCTTAAATGCAATCACAATTCTGAATTTGGAAGAAATAGTGCTACAACAGCTATCGGCATTAGTTTATTATCATTGGATGTAATTGCCCTATAGACTATAGATGATATTTATAAATAGTGTAAATGTTACTAAAGACATATTTAACGAAAATTATACTATTTTTATTAATTAAAGGGATAAATACCGTTAAAGGATCATTTTTAATATATTAATGGTATGGTATTCGTGTTTTTAGAAGTAGAAGTTGAAGTAAAAAATTGGTTAAAATTGGCTAATTTTCTGAGGAATAAGTACCGCAACACCTCTGAATTCGGTCGTATCCTTCTAAAGACTTAGAAATATTCCAAAACAACCTCTTTTAATACTTATCGTAAATTGTTTGTTTACTTTTGTTTTTAGTTTATTAAACAAAATGTGTTTTTTTTTACGATTCTTTATTTTTAACTTTACACATAATAGGTTCAATTAAGACCACAAAATTAAAGAGCATTTTGATATATTTCACATATCTTTAGTTGAAGACTACAAGATTGAAAAATTGTCTTTACTTTGTACATGTTTAGCCGAAGCATTTATTAGTGGTTAGATAAATTTTGGACAGACAATCAACTTATTTGATAGACGAAAAATTTATCTAAACCAGGTTTTTGAATGCCGGAGTCTTTGGAAATGAAATGATGTATAGTCATACAAAATTGCCACAATCCGCCACGCGATCCGCCATGCTGGTGAGAATCAATACTCTACTTAAAGGGTACTCTGGCATAAGATTTGAGATCTTGGAAACTATGACAAAATTTCTCAACAATAATATCACCCCATGTTTGCCCGTCCACACTTCATGTAGTGACTTGGTACCACTATCCTATATTGCTGGGCTTTTAATGGGGAGACCCAACTCTAAAGCTACTAAACCTAACGGAGAACTATTGAATGCTGTCCAGGCCTTTCATGAGGTTGGCATTGACACTGGATTCTTTGAGTTGCAGCCTAAGGAAGGAATAGCCTTGGTGAATGGCACTTGTGTTGGTTCTGGCTTGGCATCCATTGTTCTTTATGAGACTAACATTCTTGTTGTCCTTTCTGAAGTTCTATCAGCATTTTTTGTTGAAGCAATGCATGGACAACATATTTTGAATGGAAGTAATTCCTATGTTATGGAAATTGATGAAAAACGTAATAAACATGATTGTTACGTCCTTGGAAAGTCTCCACATTGGTTAGGTCCTCAAATAGAGGTGATTAGAGAAGCAACCACGATGATCGAGAGAGAGATTAACTCGGTTGATGACAACCCTTTGATTGATGTTTCGAGAAATAAGGCACTACATGGTGGGAATTTTCAAGGGATATCAATAGGGGTATCAATGGACAACACTAGGCTAGCACTTGCCTCAATTGGAAAACTTATATTTGCACAATTTTCTGATCTTGTCAGTAATGGATTGCCTTCAAATCTATCCGGGAGTCGGAGTTCTAGCTTGGATTACGGTTTCAAAGGTGCTGAAATTTCCATGGCCTCTTACTGTTCTGAACTTCAATTTCTTGCCAATCCAGTGACTAACCATGTCCAAAGTGCTGAGCAACACAATCAAGATGTCAATTCCTTGGCTTTAATATCCTCAAGAAAGACATCTGAGGCAGTGGACATTTTAAAACTCATGTCTTCAACTTATCTAGTAGCACTTTGTCAAGCCATTGATTTGAGACACTTGGAAGAAAATCTCGAAGCCGCGGTGAAGAATGCAGTGAGCCTAGTAAGCCAAAATGGAGAGCTTGATCACCTTTCAATTAGGTTTTGTGAGAAAGACTTGCTCAAAGTGGTTGATAGCGAATATGTTTTTGCATATGCTGATGACCCTTGTAATGCTAACTATCCATTGATCCAAAAGTTACGACAAATTTTGATGGATCATGCTCGTGACGAGGAGAAAATTTTAAGTAATTCAATCTTCCAAAAAATCAGTGCATTTGAGGAAGAATTGAAAGTTGTTTTGTCTGAAGAAATTGAGAGTGCTAGATGTGATTTTGATAATTGCAAGTCATCCATTCCTAATAGAATTAAAGAATGCAAGTCCTATCCATTGTACAAGTTTGTTAGAGAGGAACTAGAGATTAATTTCTTGACTGGTGAGAAAGTTAAATCACCTGGAGAAGAAATTAACAAGGTATTAATATCCATGAATGAAGGTATGTTGATAGATCCATTACTTAATTGCTTGAAAGATTGGAATGGTGTTCCTCTTCCCTTTTGCTAGAGGGAAAAAGACCAGAAGCATATATTGCATGTCTTTGCAACATAGTCCATATTTATGTTACTATATTAATTATTTATATATAACTATAATAAGTGGTAGTCAATGTTGGTACTTACTAAATAATATCACTCTTTTTTTGTGTGTGGATATTTTGGTATTTCAATTTTCAACCCTTGTAATCTCTCTATATACTAGTTTTTTGACATGTGCATTGCATGTGATTACCAATTCATAAAGTATATGTTATAGTAAATATTATTGCTTATTTAAGCGAAGATTTGAATAATAAGCTTAGAAAAAATAAATATTGCAGATTCTTTTGTGAATGTTCAATGTGGATCGTCATATATATATATATATATATATCTTATCCACGCAAACCTATGAAGATGGTCAATGGAATTTTTTATTAGTTAAATGTAATAATGTATATATTTATTTCAATTTGATGAGGTTCAATCATGTAATTGGTTGTATCTCACTAATATTACCTTATAGATAATTTTTGTTGTGTATTTTTCTTGTCATCTAACTTGATGTGTTTTGCACGTTAAACTGTTTAGATGTGATATGAACATGAGAAGAGAAAAACTACATTTTATCTTTTAGACCTATTTTTTGTATATTAATTTTTATTTTATAAGTTATAACATAATAGATGATGTTTTTGTTGTTGGCTGTCCTATTTGACTTCTCGATTGACTGTGTATATAAATAAAATATAGTTATCTGACAGCCCATAGTTAACTGAGAAAAGTTTCCTTTTTTTTTTACCGGAAACACTAAAAATTAAAATAAAAATAATATATTCTATCCGTGAAATCATATATATATAATCACATGTTCATCTTACACCCAACAAAGATATAGTTTATATACCTCTAAACGATTTTCAATTTATTAAACCAAGCATGATTCGTCAAAGGAAAAATAACAACACTGTATTATCACATATATAGGGGCGGTATAACAATATGAAAGATTATTGGTCAAAAGTTAATATAAGGAAATATGAAAGATAGAAATAGTTAATGTAATAATTATGAAATTCATAATATTATAACTAAGAATGTAAAAGAGTGTGAATAACGTTTGCAATAATTAGTAATAACTAAAAGAATTTATAATGTTGTAACTAAAAAAAAATTAATGTGCAATAGCTGAATTTCTAATAAATTCTATACTTACATAAATAAATAGGAATTTTAATTAATGTTACTATTTTTCTATAGTTATTAGATTTTAATTTAGTGTAGGGACAAAATGTATTATTTTGTAAATGATAAATTTTAAACGATTCATATATATTCACATATTTGCACATTTGTTGTGAGTTTTTTTTAAAAAAAGAACTCGAAATATTTTAAAATAATATATTTTGAAGTTTGAAGATCTTGTTAACTTGATAATACATTCGTGACATATACAATACTTTAATTTAAATACAAATACCTACCCAAATATAAATATATATTTGCATTACTGAAAATATTTATCTCATAAGAATTAGCTATTAAATAAATAATAAAAATTAAACTAATACAAACTTCAACTGGCGTTATTACAAGTCATATGAACTTTTCTTCGTCTAAAATATTGAAATATTAAGAAATAGTAAATAAGTAAAACAAAAGGGCAATGTTCATATAATAATAACTATTTTGAAGCAAACTTCCTGACAATCTAAATCACATAAGTATCATTGATAAATAAAGTCATTCTTTTGTCTTGAGCATAAAAAAAATAAATCGTGACAATTCTCTAAATTTTGAAAAAAGATATTCTGAAGCATATATCTACATCACAAGATATTGTTAACAAAAACAAATGAATTTACACTACATCATGTTAACTTCATATATTGCAACATTACATACTAATGTATATATTAAGCAAAAAATAATAATTAGTGTATCCTCAAAATTATTTTCCTCAAGTACTCGAGGTTATGGAATATATCCTCTTAGGATATAATGATTTACTTCATCAGAATAGTGGTACCTCATATTTCGCTAAACTTCGAACTCACTCAACGACAATAAATCACACAAAATTTTTAAAATGCAAGAAGAAAAAAGCAGAAGATTTAAAATAACTGTGGTTGAAAAATGAGAGGAAACCGCTCTATTTATAATCAACAAAGGGTAGTATGAACAAGTGTTTTTTGTGTCTTATCTGAAAAATTATGACCTTTCCGAGAAGTCGCAACCCTTTGGAAAATTCACAACTTATTGAAAAAGTCACAACTCTTTGGAAAAGTCACAACTCATTAAAAAATCACAACCCTTTGAAAAAAGTCATAACTTATCAAAAAAGTAACAACTCATCGAAAAAGTCACAACCTAAATTAGGGATATTATAGTAATTTAACATTCAAGATATGAGTTAATGCTTTTAAGGTAATATAGATATAAATATAGATATAGATATAGATATATATATATTGTACTTGGTTGAAGTTTCAATTTGAAGTACCCAAGAAATCATACATTTTTCTATTTTGTGTAGTCAGAGATTAGTTTATGTCTCTGTTTATCCAAACGTGCTGCTTGTGGTTCTAGCTATAATGACATCGACAATAAACCTCAATTTGGTCGCTTGTTTGTGGATGATATGGCATTGCTACTTTATGTTTTAATCCTTATTTTCTCAGTAACGATGCAAACAACCGATTGTAAAAATGCGAACCTCCATCACTAATAATAGCACGTGGGGTGCCAAATCTTGCAAAGATGTAGCGCTTTAAGAATTGAAGAATACTCTTCCCTTCATTGTTGGGTAATGCTACAGTTTCCACCCATTTAGAAACATAATCCACCACCACCAAAATATACTTATTTCCAAACGAGCTCATAAATGGACCCATGAAGTCTATTCCCCAAACATCGAATAATTCAACCTCAAGAATGGGATTAAAGGGTAATTCATGCCGTCTGGATACCCCACCTTGCTTTTTGGCATTGTGTGCATCGTTTAAAAAATTCATGGGCATCTTTGTAGAGGGATAGCTAATAGTAGCCACTTTGAAGTACTTTGGCGGTTGTTCGCACACCACTATGATGACCACCAACAGGTGAAGTGTGGCAAGCATTGCGAATGTCATTGGTTTCCTCCTCTGGCACACATCGCCATATTATATGATCTTCACACTCTCTAAACAGGTATGATTCATCCTAGAAATACCTCTTTACATCAAACAAGAACCGTTTTTGTTGATAGACATTCCGATCTTCCAACATTATTCCGCACACTACATAGTTTGCAAAGTCAGCGTACCAAGGAATGAGGTCAAGCGTGGTTGCAAATACTTGTTCATGTGAAAATAAATCATTTATGTCTAACTCAAGCTCATCTTTCTTCTTGGCTTCCAACCTAGATAAATGGTCATCCACCTAATTTTCACAACCTCTTCTATCTTTAACTTCAAAGTCGAATTCTTCCAATAATAGCACGCATCTTATAAACCTTTGTTTTGCATGGTTTTTTGCCATCAAGTACCACAAAGATGCATGATCTATGTGAGCTATCACTCTAGTTCCTAGCAAGTACGCCCGGAACTTCCCAAATGCATATACCACCGTAAGTAGTTCTTGCTCAGTAATAGTTTAGTTACGTTGAACTCCATTTAATGTTTTGTTGGCGTAGTAAATTGGATGAAAAAGCTTGTTGCGCTTTTGCCCTAACACAACACTCAACGCAATACCACTTGTGTCACACATCACCTCAAATGGTTCAGACCAATCTGGGCCAATAATCATCGGGGCAGAGATTAACTTCTCTTTCAAACACTGTCATACATACGTCATCAAAGATAAATTTCACCTCCTTCTCCAATAGCTTGCACAATGGGTGTGCAATTTTCGAGAAGTCTTTGATGAATCTCGGATAGAACCCGACATTCCCCAAGAAACTATGAATACCTTTTACAGAGATTGGTGGTGGCAGCTTCTCAATTACCTCAATATTTGCCTTGTCGACCTCCATCCCCTTTTGTGACACCTTTTGACCCAAAACTATACCTTCCTTAACCATGAAGTGACATTTCTCCCAGTTTAGGACTAAATTGGTTTCCACACATCTTTGAAGGGCCTGCCCAAGGTGTGCCAAACATGTTTCAAAAGAAGCGGCCACAACTAAGAAGTCATCCATGAAGACTTCCATTGAATCTTCCACCATGTCAGCGAAAATAGACATCATGCAACGTTGAAACGTCTCCGGAGCATTACACAACCCGAACGACATCCTTTTGAAAGCGAAAGTTCCATAGGGGCAAGTTAAAGTGGTTTTCTCTTGATCTTCCGGTGCAATAGAAATTTGGTTGTACCCGAAATAACCATCTATAAAATAATACCATCCACGCTCCGAAAGACAATAGAAATTTTGTTGCTTTCTTAATAAATTTATGGCGCATGAATCAAAATTCACCTTTGTGAATAGTAGTAGTAAGTGAATAAATTCCAAGTATTTTAATATCGTGGTTCTATCTCAATGAGCAAAATAAATCTTTCTTCATTTTATTTTTATTTTTGCTCTTGAATCTTTTTTGAGTCGAACCGGTTGGCATTTCCTATGATTGATTGTAGGCAAAATTCTTATTGAAAATGCCAAGTTCAAGTTTAGATCAAGTTTTGTGTCACACCTCTTGAAAATGGACCATCAATATGTTTGTGGCAAAAGAAATGTGTTTTTAAAATGATTTCAAATGGAAAAAGTCAATTGAAAAAAATTCTCTTATCATAGTTTGTACATTCTTGATTTGGATTCACGATTGACATAGGGGATTTCCCCTTTGTAGTTGTCCAATGTCACTCGATTTTATTGATTTTAAGACTAACTTGAGAATTTGTTAGATTGTGATGCCTTGTGCAGAAAGGATTAATTCATTCTTGTATGATCATGTTGTCTTGAACTTTCCCTAAAATGTTCTTCAAGGGAAACTCTATATTTGACTGGGCCCGAAAGAACAACTTAGACCCTTTTTGAATAAGCCACTCTATCCCAAATCTTCCCTTAGAATAACATGGTCTTAGTCAGCCCCATTGAGTCTAAATCATATTTTTTTGGTTACCATGTTGCCTACTTATAACATTTGTAATTTTATATCTTAATA